TATCACATAAAATGAATCCCTGGGAGCTGGCACAGTGTCTGGCAGATACTTGCAGATCTTCATCCTGCCTGCCCTCCCCAAGGAGGCAACCTATACTTCTAGATAAAATTATAGAGTGGAAAGATATACTGAATGGATTTATTCATAGTGTTTTGTTTATATATACTTTTCCCTTCTATTGTTAGGTATACAAGACTTGTCTTTTAGCTACAGAAGATGTGTCCATTTCTATTTTTTTCCACATAATGACTTAAGAAAAAATAATTATTACTCCCAAAATGTTTGTCATCCTAATCTTTTATTCTTAGATTTAGCACCAGAGCAGCTCCTTGAAGTATGGAACAGAGGGAAACAAATTTATTTTAAGCATTTTTCAAATAGTTCTAGGGCTGTATTTGTTTTGGAGTACCAGTATACACATTGAATAACACTATTAAGTGAAAAAGCATTTATGGGGAAACTGCCCAAGAGACCTAACATGACTCCACAAAAATAATAGCACTCCTAAGTAGCAGCACCAGAATTCTAATCAAGGTCTTTTGACCTGGCCCTGGCCAATCTGGCCCAATGGATAGAGCGTTGCCCTGTGGACTGTAGGGTCCTGGGTTTAATTCCAATCAAGGGCACATGCCCCAGCTGCGGGCTTCATCCTCAGTAGGGGGCGTGCAGAAGGCAGCCAGTCAATGATTCTCTCTCATCATTGATGTTTCCATCTCTCTTCCTCTCCCTTCCTCTCTGAAATCAACAAAAATATTTTTTAAGGTCTTTTGACCTGAATTCAAGTTTATGGTCAGTGGTTCCATGCTTTCTTTTCATTTTTATAGCAACTCAACAAATTCCAACGTTCAGGAAATGTGATAATTGATTAAAGAATATGAGTTTTAGCCTTTTCTGAGACTTAAAATTTTGACAGTCCTGTGATGTACATACCTTACAGCTGGTATTATATTTGGTGTCTGTTGCTAGTATTCTGTCATTTATACATTACTGTGTGCGTATATTCTTTTAAAACTCATAATTACTGACTTTAATGTCTTTTAGATTTAATATTCCTAAGTTGTGCTACAATCCCTGTGGGAACTAGAATAAGTTATTAGAGCCTTGCAAATGTGTTTGCTGCATTCTGTTATTTTTCTCTTCCGCTGATGGCCCACAGCTTCAGCTGAGCGGTAGAGAAGCTTAAACCTCTAGGGCCCATTAGATTTAACTTGTTTACTGCATTGATATCTATATGTTAAATGACAAGAGAGTTCAGGTTATTGAATAATTTAAAATTCAGCTCTAATTGGTGTCATGTGACCTAGTAAAGGCCACGGATGACGCCAGGAGCATGCTGTGAACTTCTTATAAATAATTCATAAATTAGATGATTCATTTGCCTGGTTGTGTTGGTAAATGCAAAAGTTTGTAAGTTATAACTGATGATATAGCTAACACCTGTAAGTACTTAGTTCATAACACTGGAAGGTAATCTACCTTGATGATCTTCTAGCAAAATCTGCCAGTATAGGAGAGTTAATTGCACTGGGGAGAATGAACATTTATTCAGGATGAGACTTTGGCAAAACATACAGTGCAGCTGTTGCATTACATAGCTGTCAGCTTGATAACTGGTTCATGTAAGCCTGACTTTAAAAGATGCAGCATGTCATTCGGGCCTTACTTCCCATTAACTGAAAATGTTCTGCAGCCAATGCAATGACCTGCCCCCCACACAGTAATTTAGGGTGTCCTGGAAAGGTGTATACACACTGTGTGTAGGTTCTATTACAGTTTGGAAATGAAATGTATTTTAATAAACTCTGACTTTATGGTTATTCAATGTGTGTATGTATTTGTGGGGGACCCCTGATATTTATTTAGGTCTTGAATTTCTGACCTCTCAATCAAATGAAGAGCACAAGGGAAAATTTTAAAGTTACAAAATTGAGATTTTCATTATTATAATGCTGTCAGTGGGAATATGAGGATTGTTAGCAAGTTGCTTGCCATGATAGTAAATTATTATTTGTGGTCAAAGGAATTACCAATAAGACCTATTGGTACTATTGACTGACCCTGTGATTAACATCTCATAAGTACATTGTAAGTAAGCACTTCCTCATTGTGCAAAGGAAATGACCTGTTGTAAGAAATAATAACTGCAGTCTAGTTCAAATCTCTCCTTTTGGCTCTAAAGCAGAGCCTTGCCTGTAAAAATGATTTTTCCAGAAATGTATAAAACATCACTGCTTTCTTGCTGATGGTATTTCACAAGCAACACTGCAGTCGTTATTTATAGAATGCGAGAGCATGGGAAAACCCTGGATTGCTGTAGGAATAGTATGTGATTCTGTGTGTTCATGTATATGCTTACACCCCTGCATGTGCATGCATATATGTATACAGGGTCATATAATACATATTTTTCAACGTCTTTATTTCCTATCCAGTCTATTTAAAAATATGCCATAGTTTAGAAAGTAGGGTGTGTGCAGGAGGCAGTCTATTAATGTTTCTTTCATCAATTTTTCTATCCCTCTCTCTTCTTCTTTCTCTCTAAAATCAATAAAAGCATATTTTTTATGTGTCCCTGGATTATGTATACATGCATATAAATTCTTTGGTTGATCTCTCCTTCCCATCCCCACCTTCTTTCTGAGATTTGACAATCTGTTCTGTGCTTTTATGTCTCTGGATCTGTTTTGTGCATCAGTTTACTTTGTTCGTTAGGTTACACATATGAATGAGATGTGAAGGCCAGTGGGGAGTTTGTGGGGGAGTTGTCTAAAAAGGGTCAAAGGGGGAAAATAGGGGATATATATAATACTCTCAACAATAAAGATTTTAAAAAACAAAAAATAAATAAAGCTAATAATCATGGGGAAAAATTTTAATTGCACATATGTAAATAATATTAAGGAACAAAAGTCAGAATATAAAATAATACATATATGCTATCTATTGTTATGTTAATCATACATGTATTAGAAAATAAATGATAATGTAAAATAGTCAATTTAACTCTCTGGAACAGTAAAAAATGTATCTGTCAGTTTTAAAATATAATAGTTCTGTAAAAAGATAGTTTTCCATACAAAATAGCACACGATAAATGTTAAGTATTTGTTTTGACAGTAAGTGGTACTGAAGTCCACATTAGGAACGCTTAATGTGGACTAGAGCTTCCTTTTTGGCATAAAGTAAGGTTAATTTTTTTATGAGGAGTTTGTTGTCAGTGTCGCCATAGGCCTCGCTCCTTTTCCTGCAGCTGTAATCTGCTCAGTGGCACCCTCAGGGTGTACAGAATGGCCTGCCCTGAAGAGAACCTGGTCTCCTCCCCAGATGCCTCTCATTCTCATTTTAATAGAATTCCTTTTGAATTGCTTTAGAAACTCAAAATCTTAAGACTCATTGTAGCCCTAACAGGTTTGGCTCAGTGGATAGAGCATCAGCCTGCAAACTGAAGGGTTCCAGTTCGATTCCAGGCAAGGGCTTGTACCTTGGTTGTAGGCACATCATCAGAGGGGGGTGTGCAAAAGGCAGCTGATCAATGTTTCTCTCTGTTCCTCTCCCTTCCTCTCTGTAAAAAAATCAATAAAATATATTTATTTTTAAAAGAATAATTGTAATAGCCATCTTTTATCCTAGAATAGGAAACATAGCATTGCTGTATATCTCTGTTAGTTGGCATTTTTTACCAGTCATTATTTTCAACTATTACTAAGTAAACTGGTGGGATTTTATTCCCCTTCTGCTAGGGATCTCAATTATTTGTTCCTTCTGTGACTCTAGAATAGATGAGCATCTCACCTGTTTATGATTTATTTACAAAGAAGTTCTGGTAGAATGAATAATGCCCCACCCAAAATTTGTCCATGTCCTAATTCCTGAAACCTGTCAGTGTCATTTTATATGGTGTAAAGTACATTGTATGAAAAGAGATTGTACAGATGTGATTATGTTTAAGATGTTGAGATGAGGAAATTGTTCAGTATTACCTGAGTGAACCCAATCTCATCAGAACAGTCCTTAGAAGAAGGATACAGAGACCAGATAGTCCATGATACAGAACAGTAGTTCTCAGTGTGGGTCCCAGCCTCAACGGCAACAGCGGCACCTGTGACTTCTTACAAACGCAGGTTCTATAGTTCTGCCCCACACCTCCCAAAAGAGGGACTCGGGGCATGAAAGCCAGCAAGTGACATTGAGCAAGCCCCCCAGGTGATTCTGATAGTTGTTAAAGTTTGAGAATCAGGGTCTACACCAAATTTTGTTCTCCCTAATAGAACAAGCTTGAGGCAAAAGGCTGGGAAAGCGCACTGTGACTGTCAAAGGTAATTTGCAGCTGCCTCCTTTCTGCCTGGGTTTTATCAGACTATAATCACTTGAACAGCTTAATTGAAAAATCACTTATGTTTATAGCTGGAATTAAATGTTTTGTATTTAAATAACCACTTTTGATTAGAATCATATTTTGTTGAAAGTGTTGGTTTTATCTATGTTCTGTAAAAATACTTATAAAAACTCATCACATTTCTAGCGGTAACTTACATCCTATTAGTATAAGGTGAAAGGCTTTACATCAAATCTCATACTGTGTAATGGCCAATCAAAGAGTATTTCAAAGAGTATTTAAGGTGGCTCAATGGATTTCCTGGCTTAGTATTCAAAACTAAACCTTTTAAGATATTAATATTTAATGCTGCATTTTTTGCCTCTTCTCAACGTTGATTTTATGTAGCCCTCGTTATTTGCAACTCCTGAAATCTTGCTTAAGCAGCAAGTAGCAACACTTTCTTTTTCTCATCCTTACGGATTTACTGAAATCTCCATTGTTTAAAAGTGGATTTAGCTTCGTGGCACGTGTTTCTTTAGTTGTGTAAATAGCAGCGTTTGTTATTTAAGGAGATAAAACAACTTTGTTTTGCTGAAAATATATCATGGATTCTGGAAAGCCAAAAGAAATAACTCGTTTAATTGTGCTCCTATTTGACAAGTGGTCTTGTGGTTCCTTTTAGGTTCTCAATAGGAAGAGCACTCTCCCATCTTCATCTGTGGAACTGGATGGTTCCTACTTGAGTGTAGCCAAACCACAAATCTACCATCATACCAAGCAAAGGCCTAAAGACCAGGACTCAGCTTCAGAACCCTCTGTGGAGTTCAGAAACAATTCTTTGAAACCATCAGCCCTTCATTATCCCAAAGAGGCTCCTGACATGATGCCATCAGAAACCAGAACATGTGATTATGGGTCCCCAGGGAAAAAACTAACAGAGGTAGTCCCTACAGAGAAAGTTCCTCCAGAGGCATTGAAGATGAAGGAATGCCAGCATCTTATGCCCACTTCGTCTAGACTATGTTGTGCTGATAGACTTTCTGAAAATGCAGATCATGTTCCCGTTAGCCATCCTACAGACATGGCCCCTCAATATTCCAAGACACACCCGGAATCATGCCATTATTGTGGGCGTTCCTGGGCATCTCTGATGCATGGCCAAGAGGTACTGCAGCCCAGTGAAATTGATTTCAAAAAGCAGCTATCAGAAGATAGAAGGCAGCAACTTATGCTTCAAAAAATGGAGCTGGAAATTGAAAAGGAGCGCCTTCAGCATCTGCTGGCCAAGCAGGAGACAAAGCTTCTCCTAAAACAGCAGCAGCTTCATCAGTCTCGCCTGGACTACAATTGGTGAGTCCTACCTGTCCTTCAGCAGCATCTGTCGCTTGGTGAGCACAGGATAAAATGACTCTGTGTTCTGTAACAAATGTGTAGGAACAGGTTCCTTGGGGTCTTAGCTTTCTCAGGATGAGGACAGATTATGACTACTAAGTAAATTCCACTGTCATCTTTGGAAGATTTGAAAGATTACCTTGTCTCCCAAAAAGTTAGCTTAGAATATTTACTACTAAAAAGTACAGTGTAATTTTTGCCAGATTTCAATGACAATATTTTTTAATGATATCACCATTACACAAAATCCTTCACTGTTTGATGTCATTGTAAAGAACATTAGGCATTTAAGTAAAGGCTTGAGATTTCAGCATGTGGAATTCAATTGTAAAGAAGTATGACTAGCTGTCATCATTCCATATTTTTGTCTCTCCACCATAACATCCTATATAATAAAAGGCTAATATGCAAATTGTTCCCCCAGGTGTTCAACTGGGAGACTGGGAATTCGATCGCTTACTATGACGTGAGCTGATCACCATGGGGTGGCGTGGAACATGGTGGGAGACCAGTGGTGGTGGCGGGGCACTGAGAGAGCAAGGGAAGGAGGAAGCAGGGAGACTAGGAGGCTGGGAGGAGGAGAACCACACGGTGGTGGCGGCAGCGTGTAGGTGGGGAAGAAAGGAGGCAGGATGGGGGGGAACCTGATTGGCCCTAATTGCTGGCCAGGGGGCCAGGGGGGAGGGCCTGTGAGTGGTTGGCCTACCGGCCCTGCCCCTGATTGGGGTAGGGTGAGGGGCTGGTTGTGGGGTGGAGCCATGGGAAGTTGGAGGGTGCTGATCAGGGCTGGGATATGGCCAGTTGGCTGCTATAGTGCATATCATAGCAACTAGTCATTCCGGTTGTTCTGTCATTCCAGTTGCTTGGCATACACACACACACACACACACACACACTAGAGGCCCGGTGCATGAAATTTTTGCATGGGAGTGGGGGTCCCTTAGCCAGACCTGCACCCTCTCCAATCTGGGAGCCCTCAGGGGATGTCCTACTGACAGCTTAGGCCTGCTCCCTGTGGTTCTCTGCTCTCTGCGGACCTGCCTACTTGATGCCACCGCAGGCCCTAGTGTCTGCTCTCTGTAGAAGCCTGTTTGCCCCTCGCCACCACGGCCAGGGGCAAGCAAGGCCCAGCTGTCTGCTCACTTTAGGGGCTCTGCTGTCTGCTTTCTATGGGGTCCCTGCTGTCTGCTCTCTGTGGGGGCCTGCTTGCCCCCTGGCCCAACAGCAAGGGGCCTGCAGGGTCTGGCTGTCTGCTTGCTTCAGGGGCCCTGCTTTCTGCTCTCTGCGAGAGCCTGCTTGACCTTCAGTGTCTTGGCAAGGGGCAAGCAGCACCCTGCTGTGTGCTCACCACAGGGGACTGACATGCACTTACCACCAGGACGCCAATGCTCAACACAGAAGCAGTCCCCTGGTGGTCATTGTGCTCCCATAGGGGCGAGTTGCTCAGCCAGAAGCCAGGCTCAAGGCTGGCAAGCCCAGCCGCAGCAGCAGGAGTCTCTCCCGACTCCGCATAAGTGCTACCAAGCAGTGGTGGCATGTGCAGTGGGCCAAGATGAGCGTGAGCAGCTCCCAGCCCCAGCTCAGGCTCCTCCCTGGCTGCCTGCCTCTTGGTGCACTGCTACATCCCTTGGGGGATGTCCAACTGCTGGTTTAGATCAGGCCTAAACCAGCAGTCAGACATCCCCCAAGGGGGTCCCAAATTGTAAGAGGATGCAGACCAGGCTGAGGGATGCTAACCCCCTGCATGAATCCATGCACTGGGCCTCTAGTTTAAAAAATAAACAAGTAATAAACTGTTCTTCCCTTAACAATTCTAACAGTTTTTGGTAAAGTCACGGTTTCTAAATATAAGATTGTATCACCTGAAAACAGACAATTTGACTTTTTCCTTTCTAACAGGGATACCTTTTGTTATTCTTACCTAATTGCTTTGGCTAGTATTATCAGTATTATGTTAAATTGAAATGGCAGCTATGGATATGATGGTCAGGATCATTTTAATTAGTGTTATTAGAATTTACACTTTAGATTCTGGTGATCAAAACATTTGCTTAAAAATGGATATGGGAAAGCTTTAAGTTTCTAGAGGAGAGACTTAATGTGTTCTTAAAACATCTATAATGTTGAGTTTTTAAATTATATTCTAACCAACAGTCTTCCTCCAATCCTCTATAAGTAAAGAAAATTCAAATTATTATGAAACTGCTTTGTCTTTATTATTGTGTATTTAGTATTTTTTATAGCTTTTTAATTTGAAAATAACTGCTGGATAATATAGCTATAAGAGAATGGTCTTTTAAGGATTAGCATTCAGTTTCTTAGGTTCCATGGGATAAAACTTTCTCTGAATTAATTTTTACAGGTTAAGAACTCAAGCTGTGTTTAACTCAAAGGAACTGATTGCTGATAACCAGCTTACTAAACCCAGAGAACTCAACCTGGATATGAATGGTAGTGACTCTGGACCAAGGTAAACTCGGGCAGTGGGTCAAGGCAAGAATATGTAGGACATAGAGATGAAGGATATGTATAGTTAAATCTCCATATTGGTGAATCCAGCCTTCTGATCATATGAGTAAATATATTTCATTATGAAATTTTGAATATATATAGAAAAGTATAAAGAAGAAAATAAAAATTATTCCTATATTCCTACCATCAGAAACAATCTTTTCAGCCCTTTTCCTGTTTTAATCTTTCTTTAATAATTATATATTCTATATTTAGTAATATTATGCTTGTATAGAATTTTATTTGCTTTTTTCACTATATCATATTTTCTGATGCCATTACATTTTTATGAAAACACAGTAATTTATTCACTCAACAAATATTTATGTGTGACATCTATTATTCAGTGTTTATCTATAAGCCTGTTGTTGGATAATACAGGATTTTGCTATTATAATTATGCTTTGAAGACCCTTTCTGTAAATAAATAATTTACTTATCTCAGCCTATTATATTTCCTTGTTATAGATTCCTATAAGTGGACTGCTAGCTCAAATTATGTATGAATCTTTTAAGATTCTTTTTTAAAAAGATATTTCTTTATGGGTTTCAGAGAGGGAGGGAAAGGGAAAGATAGAATCATCAGTGATGAGAGAGAATCATTGATTGGCTGCCTCCTTCCCCCACTCCCCGTACTGGGGATCCAGCCCACAATCCAGGCATGTGCCCTGACCAGGAACGAACCAGTGACCTCCTGGTTCACAGGTTGATGCTCAACCACTGAGTCATATAGGCCAGGCATGAGCTGGGTTTTTATATTATACATTTTGTTTCATATTCCACCTTTTTTTTTTTTTAATGAGTTTACTTGAGCCAAACTAATAACAGTGCTGGGAAGCAAGATCTCAGGTGCTTTTCCATATTCCATTTTATTTTTAATTGAACTTCGTTAAATTTCAAAAGAAAAATATTTTATTATAGAAAGTAGAACATCCAAAAACACATCAAGAAAGGATATGTCATATTTCATCCCCCATTCTATTCCCTATTATGATTATCTTGGTTAAATTCAAATTAATATTCTTCTATACCTTTCTTTATGTCTCCATATATGTACAATATCTATAAATATTTTATATGAAACTGAACTTCTAAAGCACTATCTTCCAAAGCATTCACTACATTCCCATCCCCATCCTTCACTGTTAATTCCCATCCCTCACTGAACATTAGTACTTCATGGTCATCTATCAGATTTTTAAATATAGAACTATGGTAAGCAGAATAAGTGTCTGTGTCCTAATTCCTGGAACCTCTCAATATGTTACCTTACATGGTAAAAGGGACTAGGTAGATATGATGAAGGGATTAGACCTTGAGATGGGATGTTATCCTGGATTATCTAGGTGGTCTCAGCCTAATCACTCCAGTTCTGGAAACTGGGGGGTCTTTTCTTGCTGTGTCAGAGAGATGATATGGAAAGAGAAAGGAAGATTTCAAGCATGAGAATGATAACTTGCCATTGCTGGCATTGAAGATGGAAGAAGGAGGTCACAAGCCAAGGAATGCAAGTAGCCTTTAGAGCTCAGAACAGTCGTCAGCTGGCAGTCAGCAAGGATATGGGTACCTCAACTGACCAATTGCAAGGAATTGAATTTTGCCAACAGCCCAAATGAGCAAGGGAATAGCTTTCAGAAAAGAACATAACCTAGCCAACACCCCATTACCCAGTAAGATCCGTGTCAGACTTCTGATCTACAGAAGTATAGAATAATAAATGTCTGTTGCTTGAGCCACTAAACTTGTGAGAATTTGTTATAGCAACAATAGAACACTAATTCCAATGCTAACTCATTTCTTATAAATGCATAACAGTCCGTAGTTTCTATGAACACTGTTAACATATCCAGCTTTTCCATTGTTGGACATTCAAATTATTTCAAGTTTTTACCACTACACAATACTATAACAAGCAAGATGTACTTATTCTTGTGTTCTGCTACATCTGTTTATTAGGATAAATTCCCCAAAATAGAATTGTTACTTCTACCTACATATATTTCTATATAATTTATAATTATAAATTATAAGATTCAATACCAATTTTCTTTTGCAAAAAGTTGCAGCAACTCATACTCCCAGTTTGTGAAAGTTTTCATTACTGCTGTTCAGGTAAGTGTAGTGAATGCTTTAGAAGCTAGTGCTTTAGTTTAAGAGATGGACATGCTTTAGAAGTTCAGGTACACCTGGGCGTCCATATCCTACATTCAGATAATTATGACAAAAATAAGCTAGAACCATGCACTACTTTCAAACAAGTATTTTTTAACATGTATTTGATTAAGGCCTTTAAAATGTTAACTGCAGCCCTATCTGGTTTGGCTTAGTGGATATAGTGTTAGCCTGTGGACTGAAGGGTCCTGGGTTCAATTCCAGTCAAGGGCACATGCCCAGGTTTCGGGCTTCATCCCCATTGGAGAGTGTGCAGGAGGCAGCCAATTAATGATTCCCTCTCATCATTGATGTTTCTCTCTCTCTCTCTCTCTTCCTCTCCCTTCCTCTCTGAAGTCAATAAAAATATATATATATTTTAAAATGTCAATGTTAACTGCATTTAAGAGTTTGACAGTCATTTGCCAGTAGAACTCCCGAGATAAAATTTAATTTTAAGCTAAGTTTTGTTTATTTGGAAATTTAAATTATCTTAGTATTAAAAATATTATGTATTTAAAATATTAAACTTACTCAAGTGGGGCATTAAGAATTTGGAACTAAAATAAATGAGATAACGAGGATGTAAAAAACATATTTTTTATAATTAACAGCTCATTTTGAGTTAATTATATACAATTACCAAAATCTAATTGCAATTTATTTTCTATTATCTGTGGGAAGAATCACAGGCAAGGGAGCTTACATTGCTGCCTTCCTGCATAAACACTATAGAATGAGAATGAATAATATGTGAGGCTTTAATGACAAGTAGGAGCAAATAGTGGGGCACAGCTGAGCCAACCATTGGAAGATAATTATCACATGAGAGATGGTAATGTCTTAAAAATTCACGAGCAACTCTGATTGCTTATAGGTTCTCTGGTTTGTTTTTTACTTAGTTTGCTTGAGATTTGTTTGTTGGCTATGCAAAGATGACCTTTATTAAAAAAAACAAAACAAAAAAAAACACACAAACCTGGCTCACCAAGTACTACAGGAGATGTGAAAAAGCCCCTACTTCATGTACTCTAATAGAGGAGTAAGTCACATATATAAATATTGATCATATATAGACTATATGGGCTATAAAAGAAATACAGATAAACTAAGAAGAGGTTTGTGGAAGAGGTTATATTTGAGATAAGTCCTAGCATTTTGATAGGTAGGCATATCTATGGGGGTGTGTGTGTGTGTTTCAGGTGGGAGAAGACATGAAAGAGTAGATGTAAAGGAAGGAAATCACAGTATATGTGGGACATCCTATATAATAAAGAGCTAATATGCAAATGATCATCACGCTGTCATGCTGTAATGGCTCAGACACTCAACACTGGGAAGAGAGGAATGGGGACCAGCCAGGCTATGGCCTGGGAGAGGGACAAGCCGCACGCCCAGTGGCTGCGTCTGTAGCCCAGGAGAGGGACAGTCCACACTCCCCACGGTCCTCATGGTCCCGGGCGCCAGCAGCTGTGTCCGCGGCCCAGGAGAGGGACAAGCCACCTGCCCCATGGTCCTGGCCGGCTGGAGGAGGGAATCCTGGGTCCCAGGTTTAGGGCAAGTTAGAGGTGGGTTAGCAGCAATCAGGCCAGCCCCGGAGAACAGTTAGGGATGTTCAGGTTGGTAGGGGAGCAGTTGGGACGATCAGGCAGGCAAGCAGAAGTGATTAGGGGTGATCAGACTGGCAGGCAGAGGTGTTTAGGGGTGATTAGGCACGCAGGCAGGTGAGCAGTTAGGAGCCAGCGGTCCCAGATTGTGAGAGGCAGTCAGACATTCCCCGAGGGATCCCAGTTTGGAGAAGGTGCAGGCCTGGCTGAGGGACCCTCCCCTCCCCGTGCACAAATTTCATGTACTGGGCCTCTAGTGTAGAATAAAAGCTGAGCTCCTCGGCTGGCATGGTGCTCTGCATAAACTCTGGCTTACCTCATCTCATACCACTCCCCTTCTAAACACTTAGTGACCCCTACTCCCACTGTAGTTAAAACTCTAATTTCTTACCACGGCCTTTATGTTCTCCTATCTTGACTCTGCACTTTCTTCCTTGCATCCTGTGATCCAACTTCATTTGGTTTTGGCTGACATTTCAGTTTCTAGTACATGCTACACCATACCTAGTGCTGCCCTTAACACTTTAATCCTGTCCTTCCTTACGTTAACTTCTTTTTTATTATTATTAAATTATTATCTGTGTACATATTTTAACATTGCCCCCCCTCCCTTCTTTAGATAAAAGTTTAAACATCATCTCCTGAGCAGATACTTCTCCGATCACCCCATTGTTCCCTGTCTCAGTTCTCTTAAGTACTGTATACTACTACCCAATTGTAAGCTTTGTGAGTGCAAGGATTATATCTTGTTACGTATGATATGTTATAACATCTATATTATAAAGATGGTATCTTCAGTAGATAGTAGGTACCCATGAAATATTTGTTGAATGAATTTTTTAAATGTTAATTTCCTCATTATAGCATGAAGGGAGATTATCAACTAAGAAAGGTGACAGTAAGGGAAACATCTAGGAGGAGGATGGAGATACTTGGAATAGCCTCAAGGGAAGGTATAATAAGTTACCAAAAGATGATCAATAAAAAGTAATGTTTTCATAATGTATAAATTCCCTAGAATTGATAAGATAAACTACCTCAAATAGGCAACTCTTGGAAGAGTAATCCAAACAATCAGTATGTATATAAAATCTTATAAGTAATTCTGGAAAGATGAAAATTAAAAACAACAAAAACATAACATTGAAAAGTCTAGTATTATCACATGTTCATAAAGGTGAGGAGAAACAGGTACTTTGAT